GAATGAGCTCGAAGGAGCAAGAAGAAGGAGAAGGGTAGCCGCTGCCGTCGTCATCTGCATCGTTGTCCGCTCCTCTGCATGAACGCCGCTTCCGACACCGGCTCCAGACGCTCGACGCCCAGAGTCGAAGAGGTAAACCGATGCTGCATGGAGGGAACCTCAAAAACGACCCAAACCCAAACCCGCCGCGCTATGAGAAATGAGAAAAAGAGGGGGTGGCGAAATCAAAAGAATCGAGGGGTCACGCGCAACAAAAAGAGGAGGGGGCGAAAAAGAAAAAAAACGAACGTAGCCTCGAACTAGAAATCCCGGGCGGCGCCTGCCAACACCACCGGACGACCTCCGGGACAGACCGTTGGTAGCCCGCTTTCAAAGCTCTAGGCCTACCGCTTCACCGACCGGTCTCTGCCCCGACAACGACCGTGTACCTTCTCCACGCCCAATAAACCCCGTTAGACCCGGTTAGACGTTGTTGACATTTCCTAAAAAGGCCGCGCCGCTACGCGACAAAATGCAACCGGGTATAGCGCAGCCTCCTGGCTGCGAACGACCAGATTCAGGCGTTGAGGAAACTCAATGCTGTTGGTGGCACTTGGCCCCCGTACGCAAGGCACATAACCGTGTTTACCACGACGGCCCAAGTATGTGAGAAAATATGGAGGGCCATGTCCCACTTCTCTCAAGGTTTTGTTCAAATTTCTAGTGTACACTGTACACACACACACACACACACACACAGAGACAGAGACAGAGAGAGAGAGAGAGAGAGAGAGAGAGAGAGAGAGAGAGAGAGAGAGAGAGAGAGAGAGAGAGGGAGTGTCGGCTCCTTTCCAGCTGGAAGAGGACTGACTCACTCACTCACTCTTCATGAAGTCCTAGGAGACCAWGGGGACCCGGGCTATAGGGGCGGTCACCCACCCCCCTAGAATTCGTATTGGGCCTTATTCGGCGCTTTCCTGTGACTCGCAGCAATTTCACCATTACTACCTACCTACCTCCGAAGGTCAAAATAAAGGGCACCCCTGCAAAAGGGGGAAAAAAAATACAGACTTCAGGGGAAACACGAGAAAAAAGAAAAAAAAAAAGGCCACGATAGAGAAGAGAAGAGGCTGACCGACGTGAGAAGAGCATTTTGAGTGTGAAAACGATGCACGGACAAGGGCCTCGCTGCACTACTCTCGACATGCACAAAAGACAAAAATCATAGCGGTGCATCTTTCCATATTCTAGCGGGAAGATTCACTCTCGTTTTGCACATTTCGAGAGTAGTGCAGCGAGGCCCTAAAACGCTCCCCCCACCCCAAAAAACGGCCACAGCTTCCAAAGGACCGTTTACTTACCAAGTCGGGAAAGCCCGGCGCCGCCCACGGCCTCTGAAACTCGCCAAGGTCGCCCGCCCTCCTGCCCCTGCCATGACCGTTCCGCCTACCGGTCTTAGGCACGACGCCGACCTCACCCTTCCGAGATACCCCGACACAACCTCTATACCGCCCTATAAACCCCTCTGGCCGTCGTCGACATTTCCAGAAAAAGACGTTGTCGCTACGCGACAAAATGCAACCGGGTATAGCGCAGCCTCCTGGCTGCGAATAACGTCTGTAACAAAGGGTCGTGCTCCAACAGCATCTATTTGGAGAAATCCGCAAAGGAAATCGGGGATCCACAGCCCAAAACTTGAAAGAAGAAATATTTGGCTTGCTAAGGGTACGGCGGGTTGTTTGTGAGGAATTTGCGGCCTCATGTTTTCATGAGAATGGATTCCTTGCGTTTTCCCCCCCAAAAAAACAAGAGAGTGTTAAAAAAAAAAAGAAAAAAAAAGGAGAAAGTCAGCTGCATGTGGAAGGGCGCATCCATCGTTCTTTGACAAAGACACTCTGCTGTTGTCGGACAAAGACACTCTGCTGTTGTCGGAAGCCGTAATCTCCCGCCACGCCAACGGCGCCGCCAAGTAGTTTCGGTAGCGGTGACCTGCCACCCAGCAGCTGGGCTACAGGGCATGCGCTTATACTGTCTTCACCCGCGGTATCTGGAGTGAAATGACAAAAAATAACAGCTGTAATGACCAGACGTTCTATTTGGGTGAAGACGGTAAGGTCAGGTACCCCTTGGAGGGATGGGCCCAACAATTTGTAACCGTTGGGGATAGGCGGTTGCCGCGGTTCTTGACGAGAACCGAAGGGCTGCTCGCAGCACCTCAGGGAGGGACCAAGGGTGACGCCTGTGCGGCTGGGTACCGTAAAGGTCTCCCGGCGCAGGATATTCTCGGCTGTTAACCCTGAGATGAGGCGGGTTGGAACCTGGGGCCTTGAGCTGAAATGCCAGCTGCCCTACCCTGAACGCCTACAACTTTTTGAAAAGAAAAACGGAAAAAAGGAAAGAAATCATTGGCTTGGGGCTACCGAACTACAATGGCTCGCAGCGCCAGCCAAAAAGGAGAAAAATGCGTGCCGCTGGTGGTTCGGCAAAGCTTGGTGCACAGTGGGAATCTGCCATCATGATGGCAAAAAGAGGGCTACGGTGCATTCGCCTACTACAGTAATGTCCGGCATCCCTCTGGGGGATGGCCCAATAAATTGTTCCCATTGAAGGGTAGGCGGTTCTTGATGACGAAGGGAAGGGCTCCTTGCAGCACCTCAGGCGGACCGAGGGTGACGCCTGTGCTCTGCGTACCATAAACGTCCCCCGGTGCGGGATACTCTCGGCGGTTAACCCTGAGGTGGTGAGGCGGGTTGGAACCTGTGCTCCTGAGCTGAATCATCGCACTGCACCACCCAATAGTTGGTCGTCCAAAAAGTGGACCCCACTTTAGCCAGCAGATGACGTTAGAGAGCCAGAGGAACGAAAGTGCGGGGTGGTGGAGCCTCGCGAACTATTACGGCTTGGGTGGGCCTCTTACCTGAAG